ATCAATCTCTTCTCCCTTGTCCAGGTGATAGGTCACCTGGTCGTAGAAGGAAATGAGATTGGTCAAGCAAGACCTACTTGCAAGAAACCCGTGCTGGCTATCCCTTAGGATGTTGGCGTCAGCCAGTCCATTAAGGATGGCCTCTTTAATAAATTTTTCTAAGATCTTCCCTGGGATAAAGTCAGGCTGATGGGCCTATAGTTAGCCAGATCCACTTTCCTCCCTTGCTTGATGATAGGCACCACATTGGCCTTCTTCCAGTCTTCGGGCACTACACTAGAGCGTCAGGAGTTTTCAGTGGCTTTTTAAGCCTCCCTTCATGGCACTGGGTGTTGGCTGCAGGCCAGGCTGGAGATGGGAATTGGGCTGTGCCAATGCTCCTGCTAGGACTTCAAGCCTGAGGTTCCTGCTTCCTGTCTCTCTCCCCCCCCTCAGGGTCAGACCAACACCATATCTGGGGTCAGGAAGGAATTTTACTCCCTGGTCAGACTGGGGCTGGGGGGAGGGAGGGTGTTAGCCTTCATCTGTAGCAGGAGGATGTGGTCTCCTTTCTGGGATCTCTTGAGCATATATTAACAACCTTTTATAGAAGCAGGCTGCTAGCTGTCATAGTTTCCTTGCTTCACCCATGGCAGGTTTGGGTGTGACGTCAGGTGTTGTGTCAGGGGTGACAATAGTTTTACAAAGAGTTTAGATCATGAATTGTACAGGATGGTTGGGATAGGGATGATGCTGCCTCAGGAAGTAGGTTGGACTAGATGACCTGGGAAGGCCCCTTCCAGCCCTACTTCCACCCTCTATGATTTCTACAACAGGAAATTTAATCTTCCCATCAATTAAGCCAAAATCTCTGCCAGCAGTGCAGTAGCTTGCTGTGCATCTAGGAAAACAGATGCAACAGGTACTTCCTGAACCAGTAAATCCTCCTAGTCCATTCAAAGTACCACCACTCCCCAAGACTCATGAGGTCAGAAGGACCTTACCAAGTACACAGTAATACTTAAGGGAAGAACCACCCAGAATTGCACTTTATCTTACATGGGTCCAATCTATTACAGCAATTCCCAAGAACTTTTAATGCTCTTTCCTTCAATTCTTTGTCTGTTTGGGATTTTTAGACAGTACGGGCTCTAAAGAGCTTACAATCTTCTCACATAAGCTGGACAAAATGTATTTAGGACACCATTGCATTAAAAATAATAATTAAGAGAAACAAAAGGCAAATGAAAGAAGGAAAAATAAGGTTGAATATTGGAAGAGATTTCTTGACGGCAAGCACTCTCAAATTTCCAAAGACAGATGGTGCAAGTCACACTGCTTGGAGCATTTAAAACCTAGACAGGCCAACACTTTGAAGAAGAGCCTCACACCAGTAAGCAGAAAGACTACTGGTAGATCCACACTGGAGTTTTTCAGCATTTCAACTGGGAAAAGCACCAGAATAGAAAAGGCCCTGAGGTCCCAGTAGACTTTCATCTCAATTGTGTAAGTGTATCAAGTGAAAGGGTTTGGATTTCCAACAAGCTGAGAGGCCAGATGCTACACTGCTCTGTCTTTTTTTCGTGGTTTCTAGGTCTCATTTCTTCCCAATTAATAGTGCGCTCCCTACCTGGTGTGGCAGTTCACCTACCAGAACACCTGAATAATTTACAGCAGGGTTAGACAAAAGGATTAGTGTGCTGGAAACAAGGAACAAGAAATAGTCTCAGAGGGAAGTCGATGTGATACTTAATAGTCTCAGAGAGGACAGCTGGTCACAAAAGGGCACAATCTATGCACAGCTCAGACAAAAAGCTTCGATAGTTGGTGTACCTGAAATGTCTTTGGAATTCCTCCAACATTGTAGTGAACCACTAGACTCACTTTGTTGTCCTTCTCCACTATTTCAAAGCTTCCTTCTTTCCATTTTGTAATCCCAGTCTGCATACTACGCATCCGGACAGGGCCGTGTACCTTCAGCGGAGCCATGTGGTCTTGCTATTAACTTACAAGAGATTGTGTTGGCCCCACCTTGAAACCTGTTCAAGAGAGACGTACAATTGGCAAATAAAAATAGCTGTGGAAAGTGTTTAAAAAAAGAATAAAGCATTTTTGGGAGGTACAGCAACAAGCCAAGTGCATGTTATTACTTCAAGACGCCCGGACCAAAAAAAATCCTGATTTATTTTCAGAACATTAATTATTTTACTCTCTCAAGATAAGCTGCACCAAACAGTGTTGAACAGACACCAAAAAAATCAAACTTTGAAAAACCTCTGTGAAGACCCTACAGATTTTCCAAACAAACCTGATTTTGGCTGAGACCAAATAAGTAACAAGAAAGTTTTCAAGGAAATCTATACCTGCAATTTCTGCAAAGTCCTGGTAAATTTACACAACAAGCATCTTTTTGGGAGCACCTATCCTCTTTAAAGAACAAAAGTCATGCCATTACCTATTCATATTATCGTGACCCCCATCTCCTCTACCAGCTGCACCGCGCACCTCTCTCACATGCTGCTCTCGCTATGATTGGGATAACACCCAGCACTGCGGGATGCCTGGTAACGCAGGTTACAAACAAAATGTGAAGACTGACATTATTGTGCCAATATTCTACGACCTCACAGAGGAATGCCCTGGACTGACCCGGCCCCACGCTCACTCCTGCCCAGGGCAGGGGGTCAGACTCAGTGGTCTACTGAGGTCCCTTCCGACCCTAACAACTATGAAACTATGGAAAAAAGGGAAGTGCTTCCCAAGGGAACCCACACATAATCCCAAACGTAACCGTTAGGATGTTATTCTGCATTAAAACCCAAGGATGCCAACAGTGCTGTGACACCAGGACAGCCGATAGGTTTAACGGAGCAGCCAGGCTCCAGAAATTTTTAAAAAACGAGGGGGGACCCTTTTGCTCTTGCTCATCGGTAGCGACCGACTCGCCTTGATGCCCCCGGAACGTGCCCAGTCTCGAACTCCGTCCACGGTGGCTGCCCGGAAACAAGACAAAATTGTTTAGCTGGCATTAAATGGGAGGGAGGTGCACCCCGGAGGGGGCTGCACCCTCCCACATTAAAGGGGAGGCGGGGGCACACCCTCCCGTACTAAATGGGAGGGGGGGTGCACCGAACAGAAGAGGAAAGGGGAGGGGGAGCAGCAAAGGGACGGGCGGGGCAGGCCAGGGACGGGGTATGAGGGCCGCGGCCGGGCGGTGTCAGCGGTGGGCAGGGAGCAGAAAGAGTTGCGGCAGACCGGGCGGGGAGCACAACAGTGAACTGGGCAGGGGAAGGGGATCGGAGGAACAGTCGGGGAGGATTAGGCCCATTTTAGAGACGGGAGCACTGAGGCACGCAACAGGCAGGGCCTGCGTGTCCGTCCCCCCGCGAGCCCACCGCCGCGGCCCCGTGTTTGCTACTCCTCCCCGCAGGTCTGGGGGGGCTTCCCGCACCGGGGGAGCGGCCCCCTCCCCCGCGAAACGCCCTCCCCCTGTACCTGCGCGCGGCGGCGGCTCCTGAGGGGGCGGGGGGAGGGCTGAAGGCAAATGGCGGGAACCGGGCGGCAGCGTGAGGCCACACGCACGGCGTGTCGACGTCACCGCGCCGCCCCCAGCATGCCCCGCGCGCGAGGGCACGCATGCGCAGTGCCGCCGCCCTCCCCGCCCGCGCACCCGGCGCATGCGCAC